CCATTCTGCTCCAGCGTATCGACAATGACGGATTATGATGACAGCTCGCTCAGGGCGCGTCTGTGTTGAAACGCTGCTGTCAATCAACAATCGTGGGAGGGGCGTCCGACCGTGTGATGTCACACGGTCGAACAGCTCGATTTGAGATGGGGAAAAACATATAAGGAGATTAAAACAAAAACACTGGATAGATTTGTATCATTATATGATGGTTGTGTACAGGCACTGCCAACACACATTTCAGTACAATCAACTTGAAAAAGTGCATGATGTACCTGTCATGATTCTGCCTTAGTATCCTTGATTTTCCTAGTCGTGAGGCAGGATCATGACAGAATCATGTTTTGTGTACAAGCGCATGGCCAATTGTTTGGACCATGTGCTTGTGTTGTCTCGTTATGTTACCCCGCCCCCTTGTTATCCTCGTCTCGTCATTATTGTCTAGTCAGTTTCACCTGTCCTTGTCATTAGTGTTCCCTTTATAATCCCCTTGTGTATGCTGTCCTGTGTCGGTTCATTGTTTGATGTTGTGTGATTCTCTGTGAGTATCTCTGTTGAGCATAGTTATACCCTGTGAGTATTTGCCTACTGTTTTGTCCTGAGAGAAAGTCATATTCTTTGTTTTCCGTTTGTTCTAGTCTAGTTGTTCATCAGTCCAAGTCTAGTTTTGTCATTACGTTTGCTGTTCATGTTTTGCCCCTTCGTGGGTTTTGTTTTCTCTGTTTTCTGTTTATAATAAACTTCATGTCACTGCATCCTGTCTGCGCTTGGGTTCACCTTCCACCCTCATAACAGTACCATTATATGACCCCTTTAAGTCCTCTACAAAGTTAACTGCATACTTTTCTGAAGTGCATACTTTGTTTGAGCTTGTTGGCTTGCTTTTGCTCACCTTTAATAAATACAATGTGATTGTAAGTCCATCTTTTACAGTTAAGTTTTAAAGTATTTTTGGTTTGTTACATTCGAGGAGTTTAACTGGTTAGCATAGCCATGCTAGCCTGTGTTAGTAGGTGCTGTAACTTCATCTACTAAAAAGCATCTTTTTTCTTTGACTGTCATTCAAAATTAGCTGCATATCCCTGTGAACAAGGTAGCCTATATTGCTATTATGTTTTTTTGTCTATGGCTTCTCATGTTACAGCTCAGGCTAGTCGCTAGTGAAGAGTTTGGTATTGTTAACGTTATTGTGTGCTGCCTAATAGCTGTCCACACATTATAACATTATACGGTTCATCCAAAATCGTATAATGTCTGAGTATATAGTACAATTGATGAAGAACGAACTTTGTGACCGTTATAATGCATGTTCTATTTAGTATAAATGCGTATATATGTATGAATTTCTGAATCTTGGCGAAAATAGGTCATCCAGATTGCGCCTACCTGTTTTATGAATACTATGAACAAGGACATACTACTCATTTCACATACTTTTTTGCCAAGTATTTATTAGGGAAGTAGGCATATTCGGATGCAGGGATTGATGCTGCGTTCCCGTCATGTTGTAATTAACGTAATCTCGAGATGACAGCGGTCTCGTTGTACAGACAATTCCCATCTTATAAGCTACAAGCTCTACAATGAACACTTTTTAAAAGTTGAAATCTCATAATTACGGTAATTACAACATGGTGTGAATGCACCTTGACATTCTTGTGCTGCGTCCCAATTCGCATTCTATCCTTCCTAAATAGTATTCGAAAATAGAATTAGTATACATCCCAAATCGTAGTATGTTGAAATGAGTGTTCCAAAGAGACCCCGATGGTCTACTTTTTCCGGTCAGAAACCGAAGTGCAGATCGATGCGCACTCTAACGACTAATATTGCCAACAACCCATCGCGCATTGGATGAGGATTCGGATAGAACTACAAACACGAGTGAAAAGTGTTAAAAAACTACAGACATGGAGGACGCATGAGTCCGGCGGTTATGAGGTTTAAATAAAGGGGTTTGAGTGATTAATTATCTAAACTGACGAACATGTATTTATTCAATGTTGGCTAAATTATATTGCATCTGCAGCAGCATTGTGAACTTCTGTAAAGATACGTTTAGCCGTTAACTATTAAATGCATCATTATATTCAAATTGCAAACACATGAGGAGAGGTGAACGTGCTACAACGGAAACGTGCTCTTACCGAAACGGTAAGAAATTATATTAGATTGAATGGAGGATTTTAACTGTGACGAGATGATTGACAGGGCAGTTTACGGTGACAGGATGCACACGACAGAGCTGTCCATTAAAGATGACGAAGTAGTATGTCCCAAAGCTTGCCTACTCTTTTGCTACACTCTTAAAAGTATGTACTTTTTCTTCACAAAAAGAGTACATACTTTTAGGGCTTACTATAAGTAGGCGAATTGGGCCGCAGCCTTGGTTGCACTGACTAATATAGAAGTCGTCTTGGACTGATACTGACACCTAGTGGTGTGGATGCAGTATTGGTGTCAGTTACCATGTAGTATAGTTTCAATTGAAAATGGAAAAGTTTTTAATGCGTTTTGCCCGTACATTTACACGTCAACGGCGTTTTGGGGGTCTGAAAAAGCAAACTTTTGAAAACGTATTTCAAAGTGCACGTTTTTACACACGATACTGTTATAGTCTCTGTGTAAACCACAAAAATGAGAATTTGTTAAACCTGTTACGTCATGCGCATGCGTATTACGTGTTCAGTCTAAAGGCACACAGTGTTTCTTTACGAAGTGACATTGCCAACTACTGGCCTGGAGGCATAATACAGTGTTTTTAGTCGTTTTCACAGATCCTTGTGAATGGGGATCGTTTTGGTGTAGTCTGTACGCGAAAAATGCGAAGGAAAAACATTTCCATTTCCAAATGTACACAATATTTATTTTTGTCCAGAAGAGCTTTTTGCAAATTTTGTTAGTGGAATATATATTTTTTACAAACAACATAATATATAAGGTAATTAAACACTTCATACAGACATTAAAGTAAGTTCAGCAAGCTAAAACACACCCCAAGGTTTTCAATATACTGACAAAAAAGCTCCCCACCGACTCTGACGTTGGTCCAAAATGTCACCACAAGTAATTATAGAGCACAGTGAGTTCAGATTCATATCTTTAAATCAGTTTGGCTCATTAATGCTCTCTCGCACCCACTCATCTGCATGCCTTCAACACATAGAAAGAGAAACTCACAGCTGGGGCGATTCTCTGTTACAGATATGAGTTCTTTATTTATTTATAGCTAATAAGTCATAGATTCATAGCTGAACATGAAACCACAGGTTCAAGCTGTCATTCAGTGTTTTCATGACTATGAGGCTGAGGCAAGACTTGGGGCAAGTTGTAAATGTATACAACATTTGTTGCCAAAAACAATAGTGATATTTTGTGTTGTTGTTTTTTTTTCCTGAAAATCTTATAATAGGCACTTAAATACAGGTTTAATTGTAAGACCTCAGCCCTATAGTGTGATATCATGCTATTGGTGCATGTTGTTCCAAAAGATCAATATGTGTTTAATGAACTGCATTTTTCCCTCAGCAATAACAATAAAAATGTCCAATGTGAAAAAGGTGTGACACTTGCCCCAGGCTTCCCTATATCACTACCTGGCAATGTCATTGAAGAGATAAAAGTGGCTTAAACTGACAAATCTGTCTCATATAAAATGGTTTGGTTAAAGGAACAATGTCCTTGGAAAAGTTTCAGGAAATTGCAGGACTAATGATTAATGGTGTCTGACTAACATCGTTTTACTATAAGGTATTCTCTCTGCGTGCAAGGAATGTGCAAGTCTGTGTATTTGTGGTGCCAAATTACAATAAAGTCTCAAAGCCTAAAACAGCATCTGTAAGGTATATTGATTGTGAAATGATGCAAGAATATAAATATAGGGGGAAAGAATAACTGACATATATAAATAATAAATAAAGATTAAAAAAATATTTATTGAGCTAAAACTCTTTAGCTCTGCCGTACTTTTTATTGTCCATAATCCCATATAACTAATTATCTCAGATTGATTTTCTATTCTGTTTGATGGCTTAGGAATGGGGATTTAGAGTCCGAAACTGATTCATTGTACAAAGATATTTTATGCCAAAGTTGTTTTTGTACCAGTCCCTGAGGCTATAGTCAACAAAAGAAAGCTTTCAGCAAGCTCTTTCTGCTATTGTTGGCAACACTTTAGTTTAGGGTCCAATTCTCACTATTAACTAGTTGCTTATTAGCATGCATATTGCTAGGATATTAGCTGTTTATTAGTACTTATAAAGCACATATTAATGCATTCTTCTGCATGACCATATTCTACATCCCTTAATCCCACCCAAGACCTACATTTAACAACTACCTTACTAACTATTAATAAGTGGTAATTGGGAGTTTATTGAGGCAAAAGTCAGGTAATAGTTAATTAATAGTATCTAATCTAACCCTTATCTAAAGTGTGACTTTAAATACTCCAACTCGCGTCTTTCAAAACTTGGATGACTTTTTTTGTAAGTAGAAAAAGTTTACCATCCAAGTCAATGGGGATTATGGCTATTAGGATGGGATATTAAATTAATACTGACTTAAATTTCAGTCTGTTTCTCACAAAAAGCTTTCATATGATTTCAGAAGACTTTGAAAATAGTGCTTGAATCAGAGATACTTGTTTTATTCTTTTCTTTTTTTCTTTTTTTTACCCTGGTCTCCATTCACTTTTATTGTGAAGAAGAGAGCCGCTCAGTCATTCAATTCCTTTGGTGTTTTCTGGAAGTGAAAATTTGAAATGATATGAGGGTGAATAAATCTTTATGTGAGCTATCCCTTTAAGTCTCAAATATGGTGTATTTAGAATAAAATATAGTTTTATACTAATTTAGACACTTTACAAACAACCAGTTATATATAAAATTGAAATGAAAAAGAAATTGTCAAAATCATTATTTTGACTGGTCATTCACAAAATTATGATTTTGTTAGTTAGATAGTTTATTAGTTTAGTTTTTCTTTTGTACAGGATTTAAACACACTGAAAGACAAATCAAAAAGTGTGAAACTTCATTATATCTACACAACTGCAAGTAAATGTATAATTGGCAATGTATTGAATGATTGATGGATTAACCACTGATCCTCCTCACATATTAATTTTTTATATCTCATAAAACGAGAGAAGGGCTGAACCCCTCCACGTCTCAACAGTTTTTTCTTCTTTTTTCCAAAGGCTGAAAAATTTAGCGCTCCTTTGAAGGATGTCTCAGGGGGGAAATCCTAAAGCAAGCATTGCTGCAAATATGCAGCAAAGCAAACAGGTGAATGTGTCCAGAATTCCCCAGTGGCTCCGATGACCAGAGATGCATGTGAAAACAGTTCTGCGTCAAAAGGTATGGAGGAAGTTAGGGGAGAAATGCGCAAGAGTTTCTGAACGAGAGGAAGGGAAAGTGGGGCAGCTCCCAAAGGACGTTTCTCACGCCTGCTTCATCCTGTCAATCAAAAACAAAGTTGAACGTGAAGGATCCGCTTTTCTCTGAAAAGCATCAAACATCCATCTGCACGAGAACCAGTACCGGAGGAGCCTCGGACACCTTTGCCTTGCGTGGGAGCATCCGAGTAAGGCTCCGGAAGGACGGCGTGGCCCTCAGCAGAAGCTCTTTGAGTCCGGCGCGGAATTCCTGGCGGATTAGACAATAGATCACCGGGTTGAGGCAGCTGTTTGTGTGGGCCAAGCACACAGTCAGCGGGAAAGCATACGCCTGCGCGTTGTAGAAGGCCTTGCTGAAGGGCACCAGGTCAAACTTAATGAGGACGCCCCAAAGAGTCAGGGCCTGATTGGGCAGCCAACACAAGAAGAACGACAGGACGACGATCACAACAGACTTGGTGACCTTTGAGCGCCGCTTGTGTCGGCCCAGCTCACTTTCGGAGCCAGCAACGCCGCTAACTCTGCGGCTTAGCACGATTCTTAGAAGTAGGAGATAGCACACGGTAATCACCACTAGTGGGATCAGAAAACCAAGCAGGACCTTTTGCAACTGGTATAGTCCTAGCAACAACTGCGGGTCCCAGCTTCCCGTTTCGGGGAAGCGCACCAAGCATAGCTCCTCATCCGTTGCAACTTGGGCTACGGTGGAATAAATGGAATGCGGGAGCGTCGCTATCAGGGATACGACCCAAATGCCCAAGCTGATCCATTTGGCCGCAGCCGCCGCCGCTCTGCGACTGTGCATCTTCATTGATGACGCGATGGAGTAGTACCTGGCCACGCTCATGGCGGTCAGGAAAAATACGCTGGCGTACATGTTCATAGTGGTGACGGAGCTGACGATTTTGCACATAACTTTGCCGAAGGGCCAGCGGAAGTCTAACGCCGTGTCTACGGCCCAGAACGGTAGGGTTAGGACGAACTGCAGGTCGGTTAGAGCCAAACCCATCACAAAGCAGTTGATGGAAGACTGCTTCTGATGGTAGCGTGAGTGTAGCAGGTAGAGCGCCAGAGAGTTGCCTACAAGTCCTAGAGCACACACCACCGAATAAATGAGGGCGATCATCACACGCACAGCCAAACTAGACCCATCACCTTGTAGTGTTGAACTAGACTCCTTTGTCAACAGTTGCAGCCAGCAGCGTAAAGACAGGTTCCCGCTGACAGAGTCCGTGCAGTTGTCCAGAGCCGCGCTGGGTTCCAGTGTGTGCTCACATTCTCCCAGATCCAGAGTTTGTGTTGTGTTATTCCTCTCCATTGCAGACTCCCACTCAGTCTCTTGTCATGGTGAAATGATACAAACGGCGAAAAGAGTCCATTCATCTAATTTATCTCAAGTTCATTGTGACCACTGCACTTTGTTCCCGTTAAGTATAATTAGTTCACCGGCAGCGAGAGCGCGGTCTCATCAGTGCCTCTCTCTCGCGCGCGCACCTCTGTGCGCTCTGCAGCGCGCGCACATTCTTTTATACTCCGATGAGAATGACGCGCCTCCGCGCGCTGCTGAGGCACGCGTCGCTTTATGTCAGATACATACGGTAAGCAATGAAACCTAGTTTTCACGTGTTATATTTCATCATAGGAATTTGCACAGTAAAGTTTTTAAGTCATACGAATATAGCTCATTGACTTAAATTTGATTTTGTAGCCTACAGAAATATTGTTTTGGACGAATACATAATAGCCTGGAAGACTTTTAATATATGTGCCTATACTTTTTGCGTGCAGATATATAATGTCCTATAGTAATTTGGCTTCTCTAAACGCAACTACAGTGTGTGTGTGTGTGTGTGTGTGTGTGTGTGTGTGTGTGTGTGTGTGTGTGTGTGTGTGATATTTTATTTTTATACTTGGCATATGTTAATCTATCTATCTATCTATCTATCTATCTATCTATCTATCTATCTATCTATCTATCTATCTATCTATCTGTCTGTCTATCTATCTGTCTGTATTTCTATCTATCTATCTATCTATCAACAGGTCACACATAAGCTTTTTCACATTCACAGACTTTTAATTACAACCCAGAGTTCTTGAAAATAACCCAGAAATTCCCATAATGAAAGTGTGTGATAACTTATTGATTTCAGATTGGAGTCTTTCGTCTTTGTTGGGTTAATTTTGAAGATTACTGAGCCAATAATTGCATCGTTTTGCCTTGAGGAGCGAAGATAAATTTATTTGTGCATCAAACCAACAGATTTAATCAAGTAAAATGCAGTTCTTTGACAGACTTTTTAAAGACTTTAAAAACTTACTGGAGACAAACTGGAGGCCATGGGCCCAAGGGAGATGTGAAAGTGAAGAGGCACGACACAGTCCTGTGGATGAAAGATGCAAGTTTATCTCTCTTCATGATTGAAATCTAGAACAATAGTTTGGTCTTTATCAAAACCTGCTGAACCCTCCAGTCAATTACATTTGAGCCAAGACTATCTTGACCACAATAGAAAGATTATGCATTATGGTCTATCTATCTTTTGCATTTTCCCCCAAGTTGTCTTATCTGAAAGTGACTTGAAATACCTCCCACACTGTTTTCTCATTCCTGGGCACTGGTGATTCAGTTCATAAAATGGCAAAGAAAAAAATGAAGTTGACATTTATGTATTGATTTATTTGTATGATCTACACAAACTACTGCTTTCATATTTATTCATTTATGCATCTCTCTTAGGGATGCCTAAAAAAAACCTATTTGTCAAGGATGATCATTTTTGTTTTTAGTGCGATGGTTTGTTCACCTGTTCTTCTCATCTGCACTGGCCTCATTCTGTCTCTCGTGACATCCAAATTGTGCTAAAAGGCATTTATGTGTTGACATCAACCCAGAGTGCAAGACAGAGAGTTGTCCATTTCATAAGACGTATTTTAGAACATTTATTGGAAAAAAACAATGCAAACGACGGAGAAAGACATTGAAAGAAACTGAAAGACAATTCAACACAATGTGATTTTACTGAAAAAGCACAATTGTTATCAAAAGCAATTTATGCAAACTAACTTTTACTTCAGCCTTCAGATTAATATACCCATAAAGCAAAACTGTCTTCAAATGGAAGAAAAACACAAAGGCACTCCGTTAGGACAAACTTGCTGAAGCAAGGATTCAAATTGTAAAATTAATTAATTTGAAAGAACTGATTTTGTATTATTATTCACCAGCTGTAATAAATTGGCAGAGCAGATTATGGTTCAAATTTGTAGTGATAGCTAGGCTATAATATATACAGTGGAGTCCAAAAGTCTGATGTCACATCTGGGATTTGTATTAGGCTATTATTAATATTTCATTTCCTTTAATTTGTAAATAATAATAAAAAAGTAAAATAAATATGTTAATTCGTTTGTACAAACGTTGAAGTTAGAAATTTAGAAATTCAAACTTTTTTATTTCACTCAATCAATTTGTTATTACACTATTTGTATACTTTTTTTACACGGCTCTCTGGAATACTCGGAATACTTGACTATGATTGGTCGATTGTGTCATCCAGTTGCCTGATATCAACGCTGTATATCATTCCGCTCATTGCGTGAAGGAAACCGGCGCTACTTTCATGTCTCTCGTATATCCGCGTATATCACACCGTGGGCTCTTGTTTCATACCGTTTCAGTGCGTTCAAGTCCTCCTGGGAAGTTCGTACACACGAGGTTGGAAGTCGTGTTTACGACGTGAGGTGCGTTCTTCATACTGTCTATGGGTGCGTTCAAGTCAGTTTCATCGGAGCAAGATGGCGGTGTACCTTCTTTTAATTAATTACACGAAAATACAGCAAGGTTTGTTAACTCTGCTTATAGAAAATGAAGAAGAAAGAATGCACATCAGGTGTGTTTTTCTTTTTATGTTTTGAATAAACATATGAAGCCAATGTAAACTGTAAACTGTTAGCATTTTTTGTTGTAATTCATTAACGTGCTGCTTATAACAAGATTAATGATGATCATGATAAATAACAGTTTCTAGGACGAGTAAACATTGAAATCAATTAAAATTTACCGTCAACTACAGACGTTGCATCCATTGATTCCGCCATTTCTCACTGACACGCCCCCAACTCGTACAGATCGGGGCTTAAAGAAAATCCCGAGCTCCCCACTGGTATTTACGGCATTGTGGTAGCGTTCAAGTGCATTCAACTCGTAATTACGATCTATACGAGATGACTTGAACGCACAGGCAACTGTCGCCATCTTGCGCCTCAGATATCGATTACAGTGAGAATTAGCTACCTCATGAGCCTGATATTGCAGTATCTATTTCAATATTACAGTAACGTCGCTAGTCTGATTGTTTCGTACGTTGTTAGTGAAACATTTGTTCATAGTGGAAGCAAGATCCTTTAGCCTACAAGCTTTCATAATTTCGTTTCAAACTTTTATGTCGTATCCGGGTAACAAGCGCGATATAATGTAGCCTGCCTACAGTCAACCATTATCGCAAAAAGATACCTCAATTATAGTTAAAAAGTAGGCCTATAGCCTTTTCGTTTTAATAGCCTTTTTTTTTTAAAATGATGCTCTTCTTAAATGTCAAGCTTAAAAAGATAAAAATAAGCACTTCCTTCATTCCAAATGAGCTGATAAAAATTGGACTTGTTATTTTATTCGAAGTTTGATCATATAAATAAGCTTCTGTAGGCCTATCTCTTAAAGATTACTTCAGTATAGAAAGAAGAGGGGGAAAAATAGCTTCCAGCCATCTGTTGGCTGGCTCCCGTCTTCAAAAGCGCTGTTAAAGGAGTTTTGACAAATCCCCGGGTAAATCCCCCTCTGCCCTTCACATATCATCCGCATGAGGACTCCGCCGTGAGCCACGTCGCGGATTCAAGGTCACTGTCGCTACATGCCCAGTGATGGGGTCTCCATGGTGATGCTCGTCGTGCTGGTCAAAACTGTGGTTGTGGAATTCAGAGTCGTAATTGGTGAACTCTGGTCTCCTGTGAAGTCTTCCCAGCAGCGAAGCAATCTCCTCCATACTTTTATCCTCAGAGAAGCGCGGGAGGATTTTGGGGTCCTCTGTTGCTGAGTACGGATGCTCGAGGGTGTGCAGCACGCGGGAAGACTGGAGGTTGCGCAGGGACCGTGACTGAACTGCAAGGGGTTCAAGAAAATGTAAGAAAGATACTTCAGACTTCTTTTTGCCAAAATATGTGCTATCATTCTTTAAAACAAACGCAACTTAATTTGATATTTTCTTATATAATGAAGTTTCTTCAACTGTGGGCACTTTTGGCCCTGTGGACGTTTGTACAATAAATGTACACCCTGACTAGTTTATGTAATTATTCTACTAATGATCTCCAATAGTGTATAGCCTATACTGAGAGATTTCTGTATTTTTTTCCCTATCCTGAAAATTCCCACCACAGTGTCATTTCCACCACATCTCAAATCACTCAAATCAAATTGCAGAATCATTTGTCTGGCTAAGGCTAATTTCATAGCTAGTATTTCATGTATCATAAATAAACAGGAAAAATTTTGTTTTCACACTTTTTGCATTATTTGGAAATTATGCACCATAAAAAAAAACATTTGTGTATTTACCTTATTGGATGTAAAATTGTTTGGGCTTGGGGAAATTATGCCTTTAGTTTATAAAAAAAAATTGATAGAAAACGCTAATATACAATAAATATAAAAATTATTTCACTATTTATTTAGATTTTCATAGTTTCCATGGAATTCATATTTCTATAATGGATTTTCATATTTTGGATCTTGAACAAGTGTAAAACAATAACATAAAGGGCATTTGAAAAGAAGCAAAAACGATTTACAAAAGCACAATTGCATTTTCCAAGTTTTGATGTTAAAATGTTGAAATCTGTTTTTAATAAGCCTTTAGGACATGAAAGTGCCTGAAACGCCCATGTTAAGCCATTCATACACTTTTTATCAAATACATACATACTGTATAGTCAATCCCTCAGAATCAAACTTTACTTTCTGTAACTGGTCAATGCCAGTTATTTTAAAGGATTAGTTCACCTCAAAATGAAAATTTCCTGATAATTTACTCACCCAAATGCCATCCAAGATGTTCATGTCTTTCTTTCTTCGGTGGAAAAGAAATTAAGTTTTTTGAGGAAAACATTTCAGGATTTTTCTCCACACAATGGACTTCAATTGCAACCAACATGTTGAAGTGCAAATCAATGCAGTTTCAAAGGGCTTTGAAGTGCTTCAAACGGCTCTTCACGATCCCAGCTGAGGAATAGGGTCTTATCTAGCGAAACGATCGTTCATTTTCTGAAAATAACAAAACAATTATATACTTTTTAACCACAATTGTTCGTTTTGTGCTGGTCTGCGACGCGCCAGGGATTACGTCATCACGTTGGAAACGTCACACGTCACGTCATCTATCTAAGGGTGTATTCACACCTGCCTTGTTTGGTTCGATTGAATCGAACTCTAGTTCGTTTCCCCCCTTGGTGTGGATCTTTTGGGCAGGTGTGAATACAGCAATCGAACTCGGGTGCGGACCAAACAACCGAACCGAGACCCAGCTGAAGAGGTGGTCTCGGTACGGTTCCAAACGAACTCTGGTACGGTTCGTTTACGGTGTGAACATGAACCGACCCAATTGCAAGAAAGCACTGCGCCTTTGAGTTAAAAGGCTTCCGTAGTCGGAGATTTTTGCATAATGGTTTGTGTTATTGTTGTTTATGTGCGAAAGAGAATTCCATTCCGGCGCGCTGTCTGGCCACACGATACTGTTGCGCGTCTTTCTGCGCGCCGTGTGTGTGCATCATTGGAATGGAATGAATGAATGAGTGTGTGCATCAGGACATTCACATACAGCGCGTTCTCTTTAGTCTAATCGCGCATAGATGCAAAAAAAAGCTTTTGCAGTTCATATAATGTAACGATAGTTACAATACAAGGATGATGCTGCGTTAAACTGGACAAACTTAAATCGCAAGCGTTAACATTGACAGCACTTGTTAGCAGTAAATACAATAAGAATCTCATTATTTGAATGTGTGAACATAGCCCCTCTCTATGAATGAAAACTTTATACCTTATTCGTCTTCTGCGCAGTTTCTTCATATTGCGTTTGTACAGAATAACACAAAATTAGTCAAATAAGAAATATTGCAGTACGAAATATCTCCATGCTGAGCCTTTTTTGCACTTCCTGATTTCCCTACTTGAGAATCCTTGTCCAATGAATGGACGACCTTAGCACACGTGTGGTTTTGTTTACAAATTTTGGTTCACTTGCAAAATAAGCAGTGTGAAAGCGAACCGTACAAAAAAAAAAAAAAAAAAAAAAAAAATTTGGTCCGGACCAAAGCAAGTGAACTATCGGACTTTCCTGGTGTGAATACACCCTAAGTTATTTGTCTGTGAACTCCGGTTCAAAAAGGCAGGGAAGGGCGAAAAATTCCATCTAATTTTCTCCCGTTTTCTCCTCCAACTTCAAAATCGTCTGACATCTTTGTTTTAATTTATTATTATTATTATATATATATATATAAAAAAAAAAAATTGTGACGTTTCCGACATGATGACGTAATCCCTGGCGCGTCGCCGACCAGCACAAGATGAACAATTGTGGTTAAAAAGTATATAAATGTTTTTTTTAGGTTTATTTTTAATGACCGATCATTTCGCTAGATAAGACGGCATTGGGGTGAGTAAATTATCAGGAAATTTTCATTTTGAGGTGAACTAATCCTTTAAGTCTGTGGATGAAATAAACAGTCGAGTGAGTCACGCATTGACACATTTTACCCTGTTCTTTTTTCCTGAACTTCAGCCACCCACTTCAAAAGAGCTGTGGAGGGCAGGACGCTAATCGAACAAGGCGGTGATCAAGTGCGGCAAACTTTAAACCATGACCTACGCTTAGCCTGCAAAATTAGAATTGATTCCCTTCAGAAACACTGACAGCAGGTTTGATGAGGACAAATTACAACTTTTCTTCAACGCCGTTGATTCAATGTGTGGGAAACATGACAAAGCCATTTGCCATTCTTCTAGTCTTCGTCACCTCCCTCAGTCCTTCCAATAACTGTCATAAGGCTTCACCCAAAGCCTAATGGCGTGTCAAACAAATTATACATTACACGGATTCAAGAACCCCTTGTTCTTCAAGCATAACATTTTCCTCTCAAGTTAGCAGTCGCAGGATATAAGGTTGTAATGGGGTTTTCCCCTCAAGGACCAGATGGAGGAGATATTTCGGCCAGAAAACTCACCTCTCAATGGGCTGAAGTCTCCATGCTGGCTGACTTTGGTATCAGAGAAGGGCTTCAGACTGGGCAGCAGAATCAAGGTGAATGACAGAAGCAGCACCTGAGGGACAGAGGCAGATGGAAAGCTTAAACATAGCGGCACGGAAGGCCATTAGTGAAGCACAACTTTGATGTAACATCCATTTTTGAGGTATGTTCTCAAGTAGCTTTAGATTGGAGTTCCTTGTTCTGTTATTACTTGCTTCCTTCATGTTGGGGAACACCGATGATTGCTTTAAGAGCATTTGCTAGTCAATGTCTTGTGCAGAAAGGCAATGAAATATATGATATTGTGAAACATCAGTTTTTTACATTTACAAAATTGAAGTCAACCAGAAATGGCATTTTTTAAACTAACGTTACTATAGCAAAGCTGAATTTTCAGCAGCCATTACTTCAGTCTTCAATTTCACATGATCCTTCAGAAAACTGTTGTGCTGCATGCTTAATATTTTGTGGAAACATTTTTCAGTATTGTTTGATGAATAAAGTTCAAAAGAACAGCATTTATTTGAAATAGAACTGAAGAAAATTTAGCAGCCAAAAATATTTTTTACCATCCATTAAACTGTTTTTGCAAAAACAGGCAGATCATGTAACACAAAACTTTTAGATACCAATGAAAATTCACAATTTTCAGGTACAGAAATGGAATAAAGTAGGCTAATCAAATGAGAAATACCACTACATAGTCACTGTATAAATGAAACATAGATTAATCCTTATTAAAGTTACAAAAGTTATTCAGTCAAGAGCAGTGAGTGTTTTTTAACTTTAAAAACGCAGACAGCAGTAGGTATATTAGGCTCCTGTCACTTTAAGACCGAATGCAATATACCGATGCATTCTGTACACGTGTGTTCATTTTAGGCCCTGTATGTATATATATCATAATGAAACAAGATGAATAAGAAAACAATGTGGGAGAGACTTCATTTTATCTTTTTTTAATAATAAAAAAGTGTGATTATGTTATTATCTTGACAGAAATAGTTTGTAATAGTAAGAAATAAACCCTTTTTTTTATCTTATTTCTGCAGTGTTCAGCTTGTATTTGTATTGCATATTTCTAGGGAATTTTCCTTGGTGCTACTGCTTTTGGATTGCTTAAATAAAGATTGTCAGAATAAAATTTACTGATAAATAATTCAAAATAGGACCAAGAATGTGTTGATGTAAAAGATTTTGTGGTTAATACACGCTGACATGTGCTGAAAGAAAACGCCGGCAAGTGCCAGAGAAAATACCATCTGTTATGTATGTGTCTAGTGTGTGTTTTTAAAAGCCCAAAGCATGATTACTGTATGCCTGTATCTTTCATGTGCTAATATTGCTTTTTTTTTAACCCTCACCAGAATGCAGGTCCCAGTCTGGGCCGGTTTGTTGGATCCGTTCATGATCATCGCTTGGAGCCGACGCAGTTGTTCCATCAGGGAGCTAGAGATGGAGAGAGCGGGGGAAAAAGTTCAATTTCAGGGGCCTGTATGGAGTTGTGAAGATTACCAAATAAATGATTCTCTCACATGTTGCATTTCTCCAACTGGAAGACTTTCCTCTGCAGCTCCTGGTTGTGTGCACTGCATGCCGCCATCCTACGGAAACAAAAGAACCATGTCAAAGGATACAGGTTGTAATCAAATCAGCTCTCAAGCCAACTGTCAGACGCAACTGTAAACCTCCACCTGGTATAATGCCAGGGGGTTGTGTTCAGTAGCTGCGAATTCCATTATGTATTTTCCCTCTGTGATTCAATGCACGTAGCATCCGCTTTTGCTTCATTTGTTTCGAGTACAACAGTCAATACCTGCTCTCCAGGCCGTCTATGTATTCTTTCTTCTTCTTCCTGCTCTCTTGGGCCGACTGCTTGTTGCGGATCTTCCGGCGGATTTTCTTCAGAATCCTTTCCTCGTACTTGATCACGGGAGGGAAGCAGAAACATTGAGCTACAAAGACAAACAACTGTGCTCTACAATTATGGTGTCATTTCCAACTGGAGGTACCTTGGTAAGCGGGAACTGATTTGGCAGAGTCAATCCTTCCTTGGCAAGGAGTCGTTTCTCATCCTCTGTGAGAACCAGCTCCTGGTAGGACTGCGGGGACACCTTTGTGGTCTGCAATATCAATCGGACATGAAAGTAACAAATCCAATCAATGTTTCTATGTGCCTGGATGGTCAGATACCTATTGAGTTCAGCTTTTATCTTCTCTAAAGTTCACCTTTTCCCTATTCTGCCTTGTGTATTTTACCTAGCTTCACGCCTGAGTGCAAACTCACAGGCTCTGGTGTGCCAGATAGCAGCAGGTCCTTGACAGTTAGGGGGAATCCAGTGGTCGGTTGTGCCTGTGGAGTTTCAGACGCCCGCTGTATCCCTCCTGATTTGTCTGGGAAGAAGCCAGTCTCCCAGCCATCTGCGGCAACAGATAATATTATTTATCCTTCTTTGTGTGGTTATGGGGAGATTCACAAAGCTCAGAAATAGGGGCTTATCTTCAGAAATTTTACCAAACCAACGCACAATGCTGTGAATTAATAAGTGGGAGGCTAATCATCTGCGTTTACAGTGTAAATCTATTGCTAGTCACCAGGAAGGTTCGCTTCACGAATACTTGATACTCACTGAATTCATTTGGGAAGTTTGTGTCGAGATTGTGTTGCGTCTGAGATATGACGATGCAAGGCTCCACGGGGGGGCTTGCGGTTGGCGCCGGACTGTCGATGTGATCCGAATGAGGGTCTTCGCTGATTCCGCTGTCGCTAGGAGAGGGCGACCAAACTGGAGACCCCGAAACAGAGTCGCACCCATCTAAAAGTGTGTTGAAGAAGTCCTCGTTTCCCTGGGCAGGCATCATCATCTGGCAATCGAAAATACAGGATGATGAAGGTGTGATATTAAATTCTTTCTTCGGCAGAACACAAAAGAAGAACTAATTGTGTCCATACAAAGAAAGTAAATGGTGTCCAAATGGACAAAAATGGCTCTTTAAAATATCTTCAGTGTGTTCCCGCATAATGAAATTAAGTCAAACAGATTTGGAATGACATGAGTAAATGATGACAATTAACAATTTTGCGTGAATTATCCCTTTAATATGCCATGTCAAAATCCGAAAAACTGAAGCCGGACTTTCTTGACTTCGACTTACATGAGGATCTTGAACTGGCCAAAGCTGATGGTTTTGTTGTCCCGTATTCTCATGGCGTAGGATACCATCATTTTTATCGAAGAGCAAATCGAGCAGTTCTAACCCCTCACCGCCCTATGACACAATGAATATAATTGCTGTTTAATTCATCTGTTGTCAGTGGGATTCAATGGAAATGGAAAATAGAAAATGGATGAAAGCACCAAAAACAGTTAAAAGCAACCAAATGTTGAAACGAGAAGACGGGACAGATAACTTTTCAATTTTTTTGAACTTTGCTCTGTATGAGATATTGCACATGCAGGTTAGATAACGTAGACTGCGTTTAATACTAATTTCTCTTTGCTAGCATGTGAAACTAATAAAACTTCAAAACATAAGGACTTACCTGGTCTGAATAGTGCTCCATTACTGTCCAGGGGTAACGCAGTCTAAATGGGACAAAACCAAAACATCTGCCAATAGGTTGTCCTGACTCTGTCTGTGTCCCTCTGCTCACCCAGGACAAAGTTCGAACTCCAACGCAACAATCAGGTCATCATCCTCAGAGCTGTGTTTGATTGGCTGTTTGTAGGGATGTAAGATAAAAAAGAATGTGGGAATTCTTATATTTCAACCAAACATTGCCACTTCTGTGGTAATTTGTATCAAGTAAAAATCTGTAGCATTCAAATAATTGACTCCAGTAAAAAGGACTGCACCTAGTTGCATTAAAAGGGCAACCTCAACATTTTTATTTTTATATTTTACATACACTGCCAGAAGAAGGTACAGTTTTTGCAAACAAAGATTTCCTGACAGTGTACCATACTTACCTTTCTTATCCCTGGAATGCTTCAATGTACTTTCAAGTAAAGACTTCAGACATTTGTTATGGGAAAACACCTAATCCATATAGTTCAAAGGTTATTTTTTCCTTTCTGTCTGAGGTAATGTGACCTTTTACACAGTTGTGATAATCCAGAAAGACAATATACACAATAAACATTATATATTTTATTTGATATATTAAGCATATTATTATGATAATTAGTTTTAGAATGTAATAATTATTTTATTTATTTATTGTTTTTAAATGGTAAAGATCTGTTAATATCCTATTCTTAACATCTGAGCTGTTTAGAGTTATGAATATATACATTATTTTTAAATTTTATAAATAATAAACAATTTTTATTATCAATTATAATTTTATTCTTAAATATACCGTAATACTTCTGATTTCACCAGACGGTTTTATTATTAAATCATTTTAATTATTATCAATTATCATTTTATTAATAATTATACTACTGTCAGGGCTCACAGAAGGAACAGACTGGATGGTAAGTTTATAAAGTTTATTTGTGCAGATGGATACTCAGTCGGAGATAACAGGTAAGGATCAAATGACTTTGAAACATTAAACAGGCTTAGCTGAATGGATAATGTCCTTTTCTCTCTTGCAGATGGGTAGGATGCAGTCACACCAAAGATGGATGTATTCAGAAGGATCGGGAAGCTGGTAAGTAGCAGGTTGGTTGAAGGAGAGTCTATGAGTCATGTATCGACGAGACCAGACAAGTGACTGCAGTGAAGGTGAGTGCTTTATAGTGCATGTGGGTAATGGGGCACAGGTGACGGTGATTAGTAATCAGGTGATTGTGAACGGGGGAGTGTCCGACTGGGTGATTGGGAATGAGTGGGCGGCGATCGTAACGTGGATGGAATCCTGACAGTACGGAGGCTGAAGAGTGGAGGCTGGTATCCAAGGACACACTGGAAGGGGCTGAGCCCGGTGGAGTTCTGCCGCAGGGAGTTTTGAGCGTACACCGCCCAGGGGAGGAAACGGTTCCAGCTGTCTTGGTACTGGTGGCAGTATGTCCGCAGCTAACGACCGATCTCCTGGATCTTACGCTCAGTCTGGCCATTAGTCTGCGGATGGTAACCGGAAGAAAGGCTGATGGTGACCCCGAGAAGTCTGAAGAAGGCTTGCCACACACGTGAGATGAACTGTAGACTCACGTGTGTGGCAAGGTCCAATGAATCGTGACCTTGCCACACACGTGGCACACACGGTCTGAGACGATATCTTCAGGGAGACCGAAGTTCCGGAAGACATGGTGGAATAGAGCTTCCGCTGCTTCCAATGCAGTAGGTAGTCCAGGTAGGGGGATCAGCTTACATCCTTTAGAGAATCGATCCACTACCACGAAAACACAGGTGAAGCCTTCAGAATTGGGTAGGTCGGTCATGAAATCAATCCCGATGTGTGACCATGGTCGTCTGGGAATCGGCAACGGCACCAGTTTACCTTCCGGAAGTCTCCTCGGTGTGTTGCTAATGGCACAGACTGAGCACCCGCGGACAAACCTGGAGACATCTCTGGCGATGGATGGCCACCAGTACTGTTGACTGAGGAGCGAGAGGGTACGCTTGCTACCCGGATGCCCAGAGCCCGGAACTGAGTGAGCGGAGTCCAGAAGGGGCGTCCGAAGATGAGTTGGCACGAAGATACACCCTTCTGGACCTCCCGGCGGAGCGGGTTGGCGAGCAATTTCCTGGTTGATCTGCTGGTCAATCTCCCAGACGATGGGACTGAGGATTACGGCTGGAGGGAGGATAGGTTCCGAACGAACATCTTCTTAGGAGGGATGATGGAGTCGAGACAAGGCGTCCGCCTTACAATTCTTGCTGCCAGGACGATAGGATACTGTGAAGTTGAAGCGAGTGAAAAACAGAGCCCAGCGGGCCTGTCGGGGATTCAGTCTCTTAGCTTCTCGGAGTTATTCCAAATTTTGGTGATCAGTGATTACAGTGAATTGGTGATTCGCTCCCTCCAGCCAGTGTCTCCACTCCTCGAGGGCCAGTTTGATGGCCAACAGTTCCCGGTTGCTAATGTCATAATTCCGCTCCACCGGGGACAGCTTCCTGGAGAAGGCGCATGGAAGGAGTTTGGATGGCTCACCCTGCCGCTGAGATAATACTGCTCCCACTCCTGTGGAAGATGCGTCCACTTCGACCACAAACGGGAGGTCCGGATTGGGATGGCTGAGAATGGGAGCAGTAGTGAAGGTCTGCTTCAGCCGCTGGAAGGCCTGGACAGCATCTGAGGACAAGGACAGAGACTTGGGCCGGCCTTTGAGAGCAGAGGTGAGAGGAGCACTGATCAGACTGTAGTTACGGATAAATCTTCGATAGAAGTTTGCGAAACCAAGGAAGCGTTGGAGTTCTTTTATGGAGTTGGGTTGTGGCCAGTTCTGGATGGATTCCACCTTCCTCTGGTCCATTTGTACCCCGCGTTGGGAGATCACGTACTCCAGGAAGTGGACGGTGGAGGTGTGGAACTCGCATTTCTCCAACTTCAAATACAACTGATGTTCTCTTAACTTTTCCAGAACTTGAATGACATGCTGATGATGTTCAGGCAAGGATGAAGAGTAGATGAGTATGTCATCAATATAGACTACCACAAAGCGATTGAGGAAATCTCGGAGGACTTCATTCATGTATCCCTGAAAGATGGCAGGAGCGTTGGCCAATCCAAAGGGCATAACTTGATATTTGTAGTGGCCTATAGGGGTCAAAAAGGCGGTCTTCCACTCATCACCTAGCCGAATACGGATCAGGTTATATGCACTTCTTAAGTCAAACTTTGAGAAGATGCGAGTTCCACGTAGCTGTTCCAGAGCGGCAGGGACCAGAGGAAGGGGATAACTGAATTTGACGGTTCGGGAATTGAGGTGACGATAGTCGATGCACGGCCGCAAGCCTCCGTCCTTCTTGGGCACGAAGAAGAAACTCGAAGCGGCAGGGGAGGTTGATGGTCGAATAAACTGTTGGTTGAGTGCTTCTTCCACATACTCCTCCATGGCCTTCTGTTCCGGGATGGACAGAGGGTAAATACGACCTTTGCGAAGGGTAGCAAGTCGATTGCGCAGTCCCATGGCCGGTGTGGTGGTAATTTGGTTGCCAGTTGCTTGCTGAAGACATCCTGGAACGCCCGGTACTCCACTGGGATCTCGCACTGGCTCTGGACCTCGGGGCTTTCCACTGATGTAGAGCAGACTGGAATCTCTGATTCGCCCGTTACTGGCGTGGACTGAAAAGATGGGCTTTTCTGAACGGAACCGAGACAGGAATGATGACAGTTCTCACCCCACTGGAGGACTTCACCGGTTGCCCAGCGGAGTACTGGCTGGTGTTGGATTAGCCACGGGTGTCCCAGGATGATGTCTGCGGTGGACTCCTCTAGCACCATAAATGAGATCTCCTCCAAGTGTAAGCATCCGATTCGAAGAATGAGAGTGGGTGTGAAGTGGCGAATACGACCTCTTCCTAATGGCTTGCCTTGTATGGTATGGATGTGCAGGTCTTGGGATAAGCGCCGTTGACGGATATTCAGCTTTTGAAAGAAGAGGCTGGAGATGAAGTTCCCCGCGGAACCAGAGTCAACAAAGGCTTGCGCTGGGAGACAGACACAGGGGGTCAGAATATGCACACTGGTACGTGTCAAACGTTCTACCCTCGGATCAAGTTGGATGGCACTTACGGCTTGACGCGGTGGACGCACTGGGCAGGAACTGATGAGGTGCTTCTCGGAGGCGCAAGAGAGGCAGAGAGAATGTTGTACTCGGCGCTGTCTCTCTGCGGCGGACAGATGGGTGGAGTCCACTTCCATTGGTATGGGTGCTGGAGGAGTGACGGACGGAGCTGGAGGCGGAGAACTGACAGTAGGTTCGCTCAGGGTGCAGGCAGTGAGACGCTGAGAAATCCTAAGCGTTAGTTGGATCAGGTTTTCCAGACCCGTGCTGTCGTCATATACAACCAGCTGATGGCGCATCCTCGAGTTTAACCCATGACGGAAGGCGGAGATCAAAGCACTCTCATTCCAGCCGCAGGAAGCGGCGAGAGTGCGAAACTGCAGAGCATATGCGCTTACAGATGAATTACCTTGACAAAGATTGAACAGCTGGTCATGAATGGACAACTCGGACACGGCTTGCTCAAATACCTCTCTGAAGTGCTGTTTGAAGGCCTTAAAAGACTTTATCACAGGTGAATTATAATCCCACAATGACCTAGCCCACCGAAGCACTGGACCGGACAGCAATGAAATCAGAAAGGCCACACGGGCTTCGTCAGTGCGGAACTGATGCTCATTCATAGTGATGTATAGCGATACTTGCAATAGAAACCCACTGCAGTTCTCCGCCTCTCCAGAGAATGTCGCTGGCCGGGCCATGGGACTCCCGGAGGCAGTGAACGAAGCAGCAGGTGATTGCGGAAGTGATGGTGGTGGATTGATCGCTGCATCTGCTGGTGGTTGACGGAGAGGAAGATCCTCCTCAGGCTCCGGCTGATTCTGCATCATATTGGGTCTGGTCTTCTGTCAGGGCTCACAGAAGGAACAGACTGGATGGTAAGTTTATAAAGTTTATTTGTGCAGATGGATACTCAGTCGGAGATAACAGGTAAGGATCAAATGACTTTGAAACATTAAACAGGCTTAGCTGAATGGATAATGTCCTTTT